GCCAGCATCACAGTCTGGTGAGTTTGCAGTTCTCACCAGACTGGTATCCATTTGGAGAAACTTTGCTGTGGCTTATCAATAAAACCAAGAGGTTCTCCTCTCCGGATTTTCTTTTTGTCCTGAAGGTTTGGAATTGACTCAGAACGAGTGTTTTCTCTGGTTTTCCTCCTGCTAGGGGTTGTAGACTGTCAGTTGTGCATTCAGAGGCAGCCAACCATCATGTTAGGGGCCTACGACATAAGGTGCACAGGTATCATGTTTTACCCACCTTTCACAGCTCTTATGGGGTAATCTAAGTCTACATCCTCTCCTCTTCCAGGAAAAATGCCTGCTTCTTATATGTAGTCTCTTTTACAATCCTAATCCTTGTGCCTATCTTTTGAAATGACATAACTTCACTAAGGATGATTTGACTTGAACAAAACTGTTTATTTGAAAGGTGCATTAGAAAAGAAAGGGAATATTTCTAAGGTTCAAATTATATGAGCTACATATAGGTGGTTCTGAATTCTGGATTTTATTTTATTTATTTTTAAAATATATTTTTATTGATTTCAGAGAGGAAGGGAGAGGGAGATAGAGATAGAAACATCACTGATGAGAGAGAACCATTGATTGGCTGCCTCCTGCATGTCTTCTACTGGGGATGGAGGCCACAACTGGAGTATGTGCCCTTGACTGGAATTGAACCTGGGACCCTCCAGTCTGCTGGCCAATGCTCTATCCACTGAGACAAACCAGCTAGGGCCTGAGTTCTGGATTTTAGGTGACCAGGAAGAAGCAATGAAAAATTGAAATGTGGAGCAGAAAATGTATTCCCATTCAAAGTATGTCCACAAAACAAATTTCTTTGCTCAGGAGAAAATCAGTCTTATTTCATGTTGCCAAATAATTGGAGATTTTATGCCAGAGGAAGTTGAATTATTGAGCTAATTGATATAGAAATCGAAAAGAGAGATAAGGCTAGGGACATTAGTTAAGCAGCTCCAACATTTCTCTATTAGAAGTCCCACAGATTGGAGAGGGGTTTTAATAGCCCAAGAGATACTGACTCATTCTTTTTTGAGATTTTAAGAAAATAGTTCATTCTTCAGATTTAGAAAGCTCACTGAGTTGCAGCAGGCAACATTTTTACTGCTAAACACATCAGGTTGAAACTGTGGAACATCAAAGTCAAGAAAAATACTAAAGTAAATAGCCTAATCTCCTACAAAGGAATAGCAATACAAATGACAGAAGACTTCTGAACTGTGACAATAAATGGCAGGGAAAACAATAGAGCAGCCTTTAAAGTAGTGAGAGAGTATAGGCATTATTTTAGAATTCCAAACCAAGCTAGAATTATACAAGTTTGAAGGTTTAATTGAAATATATGCAGGCATATAAAACTAAAATTTATACACAGGCCACAGCTGAAGGAATTTGAAAGGGTATACCTTGGTAAGAAAAACAAAATGAGGACAGAATGGAGTGAAATGCAAGAACAGAAGGTGAGCAAAGATACTGGCAAAGCATGTTGGTAAGTCTAAATAATTATTAATGTTCAACGGAAAAAAGCTAGTATCTTGATATTAGCTTTATCACTAATAATTTATTTCATTATAAAATATGAGGCAAACCTGGAAAAATAATTTAAAAATTAGGAATGGTGGGTATATGGTTGCAATAAACAAAGAAAAAAAATAAAGAAGAACCAAGGGTGGAATTAGAATCATATAAAATAATGTAAAATAACCAAAATGCAAAGATACTGTTAGAAGGCCTATCAGTGTAAATGACCACATGAGTAGATTTAAAAAGAAACTACAATAAGTCATCTTATACATACAGAAAAATTAGTTTCAAAATTTAACATTTAAAACCTTTAAAGTGACCCTGCAGTTACTGCCTTTCCCTTCCACATTCTCTTCTGAAGTCAGAAGGGCATGCAATTTTAAAAATCCCCGAAGCCCCAAGCTTGGTCTCATTTGCTCTGTTGCCAGCTTTCTGTATGTACCCAAAGACTCAAAGAATGAATGTAGCTACTTTATGTATACACACAAACAATGAAATTCCAACATGCAGAATAATCTGAGAAAGTCTTTGTAGTCAGCCCCAAACAACACAAAAATCCAAAATTTTTAATGACTAGAAAGACTGAAAACTAATTTCTTTAGTAGGATAAGGGTTATCTACCAAGCATGTACAGAAAAGATTACAATTTATGGTAAAATTTAGAAGCACCTACATTTACACAAGTTATGACAGGATGCCCCTATTACTGTTCAACCTGGACTTGAAGTGATATCTAATAAAGGAGACTAAGGAATAACATGTAAGAGGCTTGTCAAAAAAGACAATTTCTCATCCTAGCTGGTTTACTCGGTGTTTAGAGCACTGGCCCATGGAGTGAAGGGTCTCAGGTTCAATTCTGGTCAAGGGTAGGAGCCTCGGTCGCAGGCTTGGTCCCAGCCGTGGTCTGGGCACATGTGGGAGGCAACCAATCGATGTGTCTCACATCGATGTTTCTCTCTGTCTCTCCCCCTCCCTTCCATTCTCTCTAAAAAAAAGTCAATGGAAAAAATATCCTCAGGTGAGGTTTAACAACAACAACAAGACAATTTCTCACTATTTGGAAATAGTATTGTTTTTATCAGTCAAGCAAGAGAACCTACAAATAAGCCATTAAAGAAATTAAATAATTTTTCTGGATACCAGATCAATATGAGAATAAATTATTTCCACATGCCAGTACCAATGTACAAAATATATCTGGGATCTTAGAACTATAAAAATACAGTCTTTAGAATTACATTTCCAGGACAGGAAAATTATATTAAAAATATAAGAAAATACTGGAAAAGAGTTGATACTTTGGGGGGAAAAAACCTCCACGAACCCAGCAATATAGTTAAATCATTTGCTTACCTAGTCATTAAGAAGAGAGGAGGGAGCACGGTCATTGGTCCCCATTCTGTTTGTTTTGTACCCAACTAACATTTGCCCACATGTAGCTATTTGCTAGATCCTCCCCAGGGGCTGGTGGCATGGATATTAGGGCCAAAACCCATCAAACAAAAGAAATTTAGTAATTACTCTAATTTGGGAGAAAAGAGGTATAGTGGTAGGTTACTGGGGAAGGGAAATATTTTTAGAGCAAAGTACTGGTGTCAAGGTTTGAAGCAAAACTAGGGGGAATGGAACTGCTTAAAGGTGACCTATATAAAGAAAACAACCTAAGCAGCAATCTGAATGTACACTGTATTTTAAAAATATTTCTTAAATAGTATATTTATTGGGGGACACTGGTTAATAAACTACATACATTTCAAGTGCACAATTTTATATAATACATCATCTGTACATAGCATTGTGTGCTCACCACCCTAAGTCAAGTATCCTGTGTTTGAAGCAGCATTTCTCTGCTACTTTGTGATCTTTCTTCCCAATGTTTTAGTCTACCATTGATGGAAAATTCTGCAAAGCGTCCTGCATCAAGAGTATCTGTCTTTATCCATTCTTGTAGGATGTGCAATATCCACACAAGCGCTATCAGAATCCCTTCTCCTGGTCCTCAGCCCCGTGGGGCGGGATTGCAGCAGTTCATTCCCGGAATAGGCGTTTCCGGGCCTTGGGAGCAGGCCCCAGAGGGCGCCGGGGGCGCACCTGCGGACCCGGACTGGGGGACGGAGGTAGAGCTTGGAGCGGGGAGCTGGGGAAGCGCTCCCACAGGTGGAAGTTCAGGTTGAAGTCGGGCCCCGGCGGGCGTCTCTCTGGACTAGGCGTGGGGGCCCAAGGCCATGGCTGTCTGCTGTGGCCGTGCGGGTGGGAGCCTAACCCCGTTCCAGCGACCCAGCCGGCTGCAGGGACCATGCAGGGAGTCAGGAACCCGGCCGCGTCCTCGTCCTGGCGGCGGGCCTCTGCTGGGACGGCGATGTGTGGGGCAAATGCGCAGAAGAATCCCGGCTGGAT